TTTTGAGACAGGATCTCACACTCTATCCCCATGTGGAGCACAGTGGCGTGATCATCACAGCTCACTACAGCCTCAATTTCCTGAGCTCAAGCAATCCTCCTGCCTCAGTCATCCAAGTAGCTGGGACCACAAGCACCACCATGGCTGACTAAAAATAATTTTTTTTTGGTCAGGCGCAGTGGCTCATGCCTGTAATCCCAGCATTTTCGGAGACTGAGATGGGTGGGTCACCTGAGGTCAGGAGTTAGAGACTAGCCTGGCTAACATGGTGAAACCCTGACTCTACTAAAAATACAAAAAAACTATTAGGGCATGGTGGCATGTGCCTGTAGTCCCAGCTACTCGGGAGGTTGAGGCGGGAGAATTGCTTCAACCTGGGAGGCGGAGGTTGCAGTGAGCCGAGATCATGCCACTCTACTGCACTCCTGGGCAGACTCTTGTCTCCAAAAAAAAAAAAAAAAATTATTTTGTCTGGGAGCACCTGTAATCCCAGCACTTTGGGAGACCAAGGAGGGCAGATCAGCTGAGGTCAGGAGTTCAAGACCAGCCTGGGCAACATGGTGAAACTCCATCTCTACTGAAAATACAAAAAAAATTAGCTGGGTGTGGTGGTGCACGTCTGTGATCCCAGCTACTTGGGAGGCTGAGGCACGAGAGTCACTTGAACCAGGGAGGTGGAGGTTGCGGTGAGTCAAGATCATGCCACTATACTCCAGCCTGGGCAACAAGTTCTAAAATCCATCTCAAAAAAAAAGAAAAAATTTTAAACCTAGATGATGGGTTAAGAGGTGCAGCAAACTACCATGGCACATGTATACCTATGTAACAAACCTGAAGATTCAGCACATGTATCCCAGAACTTAAATTTTTTTTTTTTTTTTTTTTTTTTTTTTTTTTTTTTTGAGACAGAGTTTCGCTCTTGTTACCCAGGCTGGAGTGCAATGGCGCGATCTCGGCTCACCGCAACCTCCGCCTCCTGGGTTCAGGTAATTCTCCTGCCTCAGCCTTCTGAGTAGCTGGGATTACAGGCACGTGCCACCATGCCCAGCTAATTTTTTGTATTTTTAGTAGAGACGGGGTTTCACCATGTTGACCGGGATGGTCTCGATCTCCTGACCTCGTGATCCACCCGCCTCAGCCTCCCAAAGTGCTGGGATTACAGGCGTGAGCCACCGCGCCCGGCAAGAACTTAAATTTAAAAAAAAAAAATTGACTGGGTGCAGTGGCTCATGCTTGTAATCCCAGCACTTTGGGAGTCCAAGGTGGGCGGATCACGAGGTCAGGAGTTCAAGATCAATCTGTTCAATATGGTGAAACCCCATCTCTACTACAAATACAAAAAAAAAAATTAGCCGGGTGTGGTGGCAGGCGCCTATAGTTCCTAGCTAGTCGGGAGGCAGAGACAGGAGAATTGCTTGAACCCGGGAGGCAGAGGTTGCAGTGAGCTGAGATGGCTGGCGCCACTGCACTCCAGCCTGGGTGACAGATGGAGACTCCATCTCAAAAAAAAAAAAAAATTGGAAAACTGAAAAAAGAAAAGCTTTTTGTAGAGGTGAGATCTCACTATGTTGCCAGGTTGGTCTTCAACTCCCGGGCTTAAGTGATCCTCCCACCTCAGCCTCCCGAAGTGCTGCTATTACAGGCATGAGCCACCATGTGAGCTTTTCCTGTCTCACACCGCCAGCTCCTTTGCTCTCCACTGCTTCCCTCTCCCTTTCCCCTCTCCGGCCTCCCCAGCCCTCACTACCTTCCTCTGTGGAGTGACCACAGGCCCTCAATGGGGCCAAGGAGAGACTCCCAACCTCCATCCCCAACTTCTCTCAAGGTGCCAGGGGAATCTCAGACCCCCTTCCCTCTCCACTCCCGGAGGGGAGCCTTTCCCAGGACCCAGAGGGCGCCAGGAATGTGGGGCAGAGAGCAGGGAGGCAGCCCAAGGCCAGGAAGCCAGGATCCTCGCCTCCCGCTATACTTCTCTCCTGCAACCTCTGTTGCAGACCTCATGCCAACACTCACTCCCTGTCCCTCCACTTCTCTCCAAAATGGGCAGACTCACCTCTGTCCCACTTAGAGTCCCAGGGGAGGGCGTGATCGTGAGTGTCCATTGTGTGATTAATGTGCAGGAATTGGTAGTTTGTATTAACAGGAGATGAGGGCGCTGGGAGCAGGGACTGGGCTCTGAGCCTGTCCTCCACCCCCAGTCACGTACAGATTTTCCCCATATTTAGGGCAAAGGATGAGACTGCAAGTCAAGACGGCAGAGAGTGTGTGTGATTCACTGGTGACTGTGACCGTGGGACCATGTGGGGCTACGGGTTAGTGTGTGATTGTGAGATGATGGTGTGCGTGACCCTGTGTGCACCTGTGTGACTGCATGACTGTGGGAGGTGGGATTGAGGGTGTGATGAGTGTGACTGTGTGACATGTGCACAGTTGTGGGATAGTGAGGTTGTGTATGTGACACGTATGTGACTGCATGTGATTTGTGAACGAGGGTGAGACGAAGGGAGAGCTGTGGGTCTGTGTGACCATGTCACTTAGTGGGACTGTGGGGGTGAGGGTGACGGTGTGAGTGTGCGCCTCGTGACAGTTGGGGAATGTGTGTTGTTGGAATGTGACTGAGGACTCTGTGGGTGACTGCGAAGTGTGTGTGTAAGGGCATTAATGGGTGTGGTCGCATGACATTGTGTGTGACTTTCAGCTTGTTGTCATAAAAAGATTGTAAGGCTGGGCACAGTGGTTCATGCCTATAATCCCAGCACTTTGGGAAGCCAAGGAGGGTGGATCACGAGGTCAAGAGATTGAGACAATCCTGACCAACGTGGTGAAACTCTGTCTCTACAAAAAATACAAAAATTAGCTGGGCGTGGTGGCAAGAGCCTGTAATCCCAGCTACTTGGGAGGCTGAGGCAGAAGAATCACTTGAACCCGGGAGGCAGATTTTGCTGTGAGCCAGGATCGCACCTCTGCACTCCAGCCTGGTGACAGAGCAAGACTCTAAAAAAAAAAAAAAAAAAAAAAAAAGATTGTATGATATAGACATTTTTTTAAAAAATGGTTGGAGTGCGCCGGGCACGGTGGCTCAAGCCTGTAATCCCAGCACTTTGGGAGGCCGAGGCGGGTGGATCACGAGGTCAAGAGATCGAGACCATCCTGGTCAACATGGTGAAACCCCGTCTCTACTAAAGGTGCAAAAAAATTAGCTGGGCATGGTGGCGCGTGCCTGTAATCCCAGCTACTCAGGAGGCTGAGGCAGGAGAATTGCCTGAACCCAGGAGGCGAGGTTGCGGTGAGCCGAGATCGCGCCATTGCACTCCAGCCTGGGTAACAAGAGCGAAACTCCGTCTCAAAAAAAAAAAAAAAAAAGGTTGGAGCATAGAGGCTCATGCCTGTAATCCCAGCCCTTTGGGAGGCCGAGGCAGGCGGATCATCTGAAGCCAGGAATTGGAGACCACCCTGGTCAACATGGTGAAACCCCATCTCTACTAAAAACACACATACAAAAATTAGCTAGGCAGGGTGTCTCATGCCTGTAATCCCAGCTAGTGTAGGCTGAGGTGGAAAGATCCTTTGAGCCCAGGAAGTGGAGGCTGTAGTGAGCTATAATTGTGCCAATGCACTCCACTCTTGAAAATAAATAAATTAATTTAATTAAAAAAGGATTGTATGGGCCGGGTGCAGTGGCTGTGGCCTGTAATCTCAGCATTTTGGGAGGCCGAGGCAGGCGGATACCTGAGGTCAGGAGGTTTCACCGTGTTGCCCAGACTAGCTTGGGCAACATGGTGAAACCCTGTCTCTACTAAAAATACAAAAACTACCCGGGTGTGGTGGCACACGCCTGTAGTCCCTGCTACTCAGAAAGTGATGCAGGAAAACTGCTTGAACCCGGGAGGCGAAGGTTTCAGTGAGCTGAGATCGTGCCACCGCACTCCAGCCTGGGCAACAGAGAGAGATTCTGTCTCAAAAAAAAAAAAGGGTCGGGCACAGTGGCTCACGCCTGTAATCCCAGCACTTTGGGAGGCCGAGGCGGGCGGATCACGAGGTCAAGACATGGAGACCATCCTGGCCAACATGGTGAAACCCCGTCTCTACAAAAAATACAAAAAATTAGCTGGGCATGGTGGCGCGTGCCTGTAATCCCAGCTACTCAGGAGGCTGAGGCAGGAGAAATTGCTTGAACCCAGGAGGCGGAGGTTGCGGTGAGCCGAGATTGCGCCATTGCACTCCAGCCTGGGCAACAGGAGCAAAATTCCGTCTCAAAAAAAAAAAAATTGTATGTCTGCGAGTAACCACAAAACTGCATACTGCATATATTTATTTCATGACCATTCTTCCTTGAACCCCTGCTCTGAATGATTCTGGGGACCCAGTGGTCACCCAGATGTCCTGGCTCTGCCCTTCCAGGTCCCACAGGCTGGCAGGGCAACAGTGTTTGTGATGAAACCCAGTGGCTGCGTGAATGCGCGTGCGATCGACAGTGTTGTTGGAACTTGGGACACTGTGACTGTGACTGTGTGTGGGAGTTCACGGCCCTGGACATGTGGCTTTGTTGCTGTGGATGACTGTCTGCCTGTGAGTGAGGGACTGTGGCTCTCTGGGTGTGACCGTGGAACTGTAGGGCTGTGACTGAACGTGTGGCTGTGTGAGTAACAGCTGGTGAGATTCTGTGACTGTGCCTCTCCATGGCTCAGCCTATGGGATTGTGTGACACTGCATGTTTTGATTCAGTGACTGAGGCTCTGGGAATGAGTGACTGGGTGGGGGGGACCTGTGAGTGAGACAGCAGGAGAGATTGTGCACACTTGGTACAGGGGTCCTGAGGGCGACAAGGGCAATTCAGTAACTGCCCTCCCTCATGACCTTGATGACTGCCCCCTGCTCAGCTCTCTGCCCCAGAGCTCCCCACTTCCGTTCCCCGTCTGCCTTGGCCCCGCCCCCTCCCACCACCCCGGGCTGCAAGCGCCTGTCACCTCTCCCAGAGCCCAGACGACAGTGGAGGCAGCGGTGGCAGGGGCTGCAGGAGCAAGGGACCAGCAGCAGGACTGGGGACAGGTGAGGGCTCCCCAGTCCCAGCCCATTCCTCCTACCCCCTTCGACCCCTCAAGTCTCTGGGACTCTCCTCCTCTGCTTCTCTGCCCTGCCTTTGTCTCTGTCTCTGTGCCCACCACAGTCTTTGCTCATCTCTGTCTCTTGATGTCTCCGTCTGCGTGTCTTCATCTCTGCTGAGCTGAGATAACCTCTTTCCCCAGTGCTGTCTCCCTCCACTTTGTCTTCCAGCCCACAGCTGTGTCTCTCTGTTGGTCTCTGGTCTCTGGCTGGGGATCTCATTCTGTCCCTCAGTCTCTGTGCCTCTGTCTTTATATTTCTGTTGCTTGCATCTGTGACGCCGTTGTCTGTCTTTCTGGGGTTGGATCTGAGATCCTCTCTGCTTCCCTCTTTCTCTATGTGGAGTTGTGGGGGCCCGGGTGGGTGGGTGTTGGGCGTTAGATAGACAGATTTCCAGGCATCTGCACACACCTAACCCCGGATCTGTCGCCTCTCCCGGTCCCTAAGTACTTGGGTGCTGGGAAAGGGTTGTCCCACTTATTTGGGCTTTATCTGCCCCCAGTGGGGAAAGTTTTATAAGGTCGGCTTCCTATCTGTGCTACAAAACCCTTTGGGCTTGGAGAGTGGGAACCTGGAAAGGCATTTCAATTTCTCCACCAGGCTGGGGGAACTCAGATGGTCGTTTCAAGCACCCCACTAGGAGATATTGAAAACCTTCAAGTTTTTCAGTCCCCCATATAAAAGGGGGCTAGGCTGATGGTTTTTACTCTCTCCTCTCCAAAGCGGTCCCTGGGTTCCCAGGAGTCTGTAGGCGCATACTCCCCGTAACACTGACGCTTCCGCCCAGCGTAGCTCTAGGGCAACCGCCCGCTCAGCAAACACCCCCCTTCCACCTTCGCTGCCTGAGCAACAGTCAGGGGCGGCCTGGGAATCACTTAAGGGGCCCCGCCCACCACCCAGTCCCACCCACTCTGCATGCCTCTCCCTCCCCCCAGATCATCATGCCTGGGAGTTGTGGGGGTGGGTGGGTGGGGGGGGAACGCGCTGCCTGGTAGTCTGCATGTGTAAATCCCTGAGGCTGGGTGACGCTGGGGATGGAGTCAGAGGGCGGGGGGCTGAGGTACTGACCCTGCCCTGGGACCCTCCAGGCCTGATCGCCCCTGCACGAACCAGACCCTTCACCACCCTCCCGATGACTACCTCTCCTACCCTGCAGCTGCTGCTGCGGCTCTTGCTGTGGGGGCTGCTGCTACGGAGGGCGGAGGTGAGGATCCGAGGAGCCAGAGGAGCTCCAGGCTTGGAGGGAGGTCTGGGGATGGTTTTAGGGCTTCCCTGATTAGGGGTCACACCTGTAATCCCAGCACCTTGGGAGGCTGAGGCAGGTGGATCACTTGAGGTCAGGAGTTTAAGACCAGCCTGGTCAATATGGTGAAACCCCATCTCTACTAAAAATTTAAAAAATAGCCAGGTGTAGTGGCACGCACCTGTAGTCCCAGCTACTGGGAAGGCTGAGGCAATAGGCAGAGGTTGCTTGAGCCCGGGAGGCAGAGGTTGCAGTGATCCAAGATCACACCACTGCACTCCAGCCTGGGTGACAAGAGTGAGACTATCTCAGAGAAATAAAAAAATAAAGGCTTACCTCAGCCCAAAGAGAGTTTCAAGACTGTCCCACTTGCCCAGATTCAAGTTGTGGGGTTTTGTTTTGTTTTTTTTTGTTTGTTTGTTTTTGTTTTTGAGACGGAATCTCACTCTGTCACCCAGGCTAGGGTGCAGTCGTGCCATCTCAGCTCACTGTAACCTCCGTCTCCTGGGTTCAAGTGATTATCCTGCCTCAGCCTCCTGAGTAGTTGGGACTACAGGAGCAAGCCGCCACCACCACGCCCAGCTAATTTTTGCATTTTTAGTAGAGACGGGGTTTCACCATGTTGGCCAGGCTGGTCTCGAGCTGCTGGCCTCAAGTGATCCACCCACCTCGGCCTCCCAAAGTGTTGGGATTACAGGCGTGAGCCACCGCGCTGGGGCCCAGATTCAGGTTTTGATGATTGTTTCCACTCCCTTTTCTTCCCCCAGCAAATCCCCCTGATAATTTCAGCCACCCCTTCCCCAATTTTCTTGAAGGTTTTTTCTTGAAGTCTCCCATAGCCACTCCATTGGGTGGCTTCCAGGTACCCAACCCCAAGACTTGAAACTTGGTTCCAAACCACCCAAGACTCCCGAGCAAAACCGGACAACCCCTCGAAGTCTCTCTGGGGTGCTTCTGGCCCACATGGCCAAGCAGCCTGGGAGCGGGGGTCGGTCTGGGGGGTCCTCCCTTCTTTCTTTTCCTAGACAGGCTCTGAGAGGCAGACGGCGGGGGAGCTGTACCAGCGTTGGGAACGGTACCGCAAGGAGTGCCAGGAGACCCTAGCAGCCGCGGAACCGCCCTCAGGTGTGACCAAGAGGGCTGGGGACGCAGGGAGGACCCGAAGCTGAAAGGGGTGAACTTGGAGGGGGGGCCTTGGGCTGACGGGTGAAGAAGAAACCTCGGGTGCTGTGGGCTGGAGAGGACCAGGGGCTGACGGGCGCGGTGGGAACTGGGGCGGGACCACGGATGGGGGGTGGGGGGAGGCCTCGGAAGAAGCTTGAAATGGGAGGAGCCCTGGGCGGGACCTGTACTAAAATGGACCTTGAAGGGTACGGGGTTTGGGATGGAGACTGGGTAGGGGTGGAAAGATCTGGGGCGGGGACTTGTTTGGTGGGAGGAGCCCAGAGTGGGGCCGGGAGGAGGGGCGGGGCTTTGAGGCTAGTGGGAGGAGCTTGTGGCCGACCCGGGACAGAATGGGTTCCGAGTGGGCGGGGCTAGAGCCGGGCTTGGTGTGGCGGGCAGGGAAGCCCTGGCCCACTGCGCAGTAGGTCCACTGGGCACCTGCCCCCCCTGCCCACCCCCAGGCCTCGCGTGTAACGGGTCCTTCGATATGTACGTCTGCTGGGACTATGCTGCACCTAACGCCACTGTCCGTGCATCCTGCCCCTGGTACCTGCCCTGGTACCGCCATGGTGAGTTGCTGCCTGGGCCTGGAGCCCTCGCCAGACACAAACTGCTAACGTTGGCCCCGAGACACCTACAACCAAGTCCCACAGCTCACCTGCATCCCTCTCCTGTTCCTCTTTGCCCTACTCCTATCCAGCAGGCTGGGTTTCTCCCGTCTGTCCAACCATGCCTCTCTCACACAACGCAGCTTCTCTGTCTCCGTATCTCTATTTATTTAGAGACGGAGTCTCGCTCTATCGCCCAGGCTGGAGTGCAGTGGCGCCAACTCGGCTCACCGAAACCTCCGCCTCCCGGTTCAAGCGATTCTCCAGCCTCAGCCTCCCGAGAAACCGGGATTACAGGCGCAGCGCCCCCACACCCGGCTAATTTTTTTTTTGCATTTTCAGTAGAGACGGGGTTTCACCTTGTTGCCAGGCTGGTCTTGAACTCCTGACCTCAAGTGAACTACCGGCCTCGGCTTCCCAAAGTGCCATTGCGCCTAAGGGATCTTACTTTGTCTCCTTTTCCTGAGTCTGTCAGTCTCTGGGCATCTGAGCCTAACTAGCAATGTCGCCTCAGACTATTTATTTAACCTATATATTTTTTTCTTTTTGAGACAGAGTCTGACTCTGTCACCCAGGATGGAGGGCAGTGTCAACATCATCGTTCACTGCAGCCTTGGAACTCCTGGATTTCAAGCGATCCTCCTGCCTCAGCCTCCCTAATAGCAGGGACTACAGGCAAACGCTAACACACCTAGCTAATTTTAAAAATTTTTTGGCCGGGCGCGGTGGCTCAAGCCTGTAATCCCAGCACTTTGGGAGGCCGAGGCGGGTGGATCACAAGGTCGAGAGATCGAGACCATCCTGGTCAACATGGTGAAACCCCGTCTCTACTAAAAAAACCACAAAAAAAGTAGCTAGGCATGGTGGCGCTTGCCTGTAATCCCAGCTACTCAGGAGGCTGAGGCAGGAGAATTGCTTGAACCCAGGAGGTGGAGGTTGCGGTGAGCCGAGATTGCGCCATTGAACTCCAGCCTGGGTAACAGGAGCGAAACTCCGTCTCGAAAAAAAAAAAAAAAAAAATTTTTGGCAACGACAGAGTCTTGCCATGTTACCCAGGCTGGTCTTAAATTCCTGGCTCCAAGGCATCCTCTCACTTCAGCCTCCCAAAGCGCTGGGATTACAGGCCTATGTAACTTTTTTTTTTTTTTTTTTTTTTTTTTTTTTTTTGAGATGGAGTCTTGCTTTGTTGCCAGGCTGGAGTGCAGTGGTGCGACCTTGGCTCCCTGCAACCTCCACCTCCCAGGTTCAAGTGATTCTCCTGCCTTAGCCTCCCAAGTAGCTGGGACTACAGGCATGTGCCACCATGCCCAGCTAATTTTTGTGTTTTTAGTAGAGACAGGATTTCACCATGTTGGCCAGGATGGTCTCAATCTCTTGACCTTGTGATCTGCCCACCTCGACCTCCCAAAGTGCTGGGATTACAGGCGTGAGCCACCGCACCCGGCCTTAACTTTTTGTATCTCAATTCTCCCGAGTGTAAAACTGGGTTAAGGATATTATCAATTTTATGGGCTTGCATGAATATCAAATTAATATATATAACATGCCATATAAGGGTTGATTTATCATCATCACCATCATCATCATGATTTCGGCTCTCCCCCTCTTTGCTATTGTCTCACAGTTTGTTTTTCTGTATTTCTCTCTGTGTGCCTTAATCCCCTCTCTTATTTCCCCACAGTGGCTGAAGGTTTTGTCCTCCGCCAGTGTGGAAGTGATGGCCAGTGGGGACTTTGGAGAGATCATACACAATGTGAGAACCCAGAGAAGAATGAGGCCTTTCTGGTAAGAAGAGGTGAGGGCTTCAGGAAAGGCAGTAGCTAAGGCAGGGCCTGAAATCCCTTGGACTGTTTAGAACTCTAGGTTGCAAGTGACAGAAACTCAACTCAGACTTGCTTCAAAGAGAGAGAGAAAGATGTATGTATGGGCTTCTGTGATGGAAAAGAATGAGATGGCAGGGTGCTGTGGCTCACAACTGGAATCCCAACACTTCAGGAAGCCAAGGCAAGAGGATCTCTTGAGCCCAGGAGTTCCAGACCAGTCTACACAACATAGCGAAACCTCATCTCTAGAAAAAAAAATCAAAAAATGAGCCGGGTGCAGTGGCTCATGCCTGTAATCCCAGCACTTTGGGAGGCCGAGGCGGGTGGATCACGAGGTCAAGAGATCGAGACCATCCTGGTCAATATGGTGAAACCCCGTCTCTACTAAAAATACAAAAAATTAGCTGGGCATGGTGGCGTGTGCCTGTAATCCCAGCTACTCAGGAGGCTGAGGCAGGAGAATTGCCTGAACCCAGGAGGCGGAGGTTGCGGTGAGCCGACATCGCGCCATTGCACTCCAGCCTGGGTAACAAGAGCAAAACTCTGTCTCAAAAAAAAAAAAAAAAGAAGAAGAAGAAGAAGAAGAAGCAAGAGGATCACTTAACCCTGAGAAGTAGAGACTGCAATAAGTCCTAATCACATCTCTGCACTCCCATCTGGGTGATAGAGTGAGATTGCCTCAAAAAAAAAAAGAAAGAAAGAAAGGAAGAAAGAAAGAAAAGAAAGGAAGGGAGGGAGGGAGGAAGAAAGGAAGGAAGATAGGAAAGAATTCAGGCAGTCATTCAACTTTTAAATGTCTACTTTCTTTTTTTCTAATTGGACTGGGTGCAGAGGCTCACGCCTGTAATCCCAGCACTTTGGGAGGCCAAGGCGGACGGACCACTTGAGGTCAGGCTGAGTAGCTTGGATTCAGCCCTTCTCAAATAAGAGTCAGCAGTTCCTCAAGAGAAAATAGGGTGTCTGGGCAGAAACAAAGAGCCGAGGTCTTTCCAGTCTCTCTCTGGACCTGGGGGAAGGGCCAAGCCTTGTTCTTCTCCACTTCTTGCCCCCACCAGGACCAAAGGCTCATCTTGGAGCGGCTCCAGGCTATGTACACTGTCGGCTACTCCCTGTCTCTCGCCACACTGCTGCTAGCCCTGCTCATCTTGATTTTGTTCAGGTGGGACCTTAACCCTGAGTGGTGGTGGCAGAGACCCTCAGAGACCCACTGAGAAGTGGGTCAGTTTGTCTAGTAAGACGGGGTGATCAGGTTCCACCAGCTCCAAGCAGGCACTGGTGGTTCTATAAAGAGCACAGTGAGGGTGGCTAAAGGACTTCTGTGTGGCCGGGCATGGTGGCTAACACCTGTAATCCCAGTACTGTGGGAGGCCAAGGCAGGAGGATCGCTTGAGCCCAGGAGTTTGAGACCAGCCTGGGCAACATAGTGAAACTGTCTCTACGAAAAATAAAAAGTTAGCTGGGCATGGTGGTGATGCACTTGTGGTCCCAGCTACAGCGGGGTGCTGAGATGGGAGGATGGCTTGAGCCCAGGAAGTTGAGGCTGCAGTGAGCCCTGATTGTGCCACTGCACTCCAGCCTGGGTGACAGAGTGAGACCCTGTTTCAAAAAAATAAAATAGAGCTCTGTGTGGCTGAATACAGCCCTCCAGGGGTCCCCAAACTGCCTTCCAAATCCCCTAGGCGGCTGCATTGCACTAGAAACTATATCCACATCAACCTGTTCGCGTCTTCCATGCTGCGGGCGGCGGCCATTCTCAGCCGAGATCGTCTACTGCCTCAACCTGGCCCCTACCCTGGTGACCAGGCCCCTGCACTGTGGAATCAGGTGGGTATCCTCCTTCCGTTCCTCCACATGGGAATCTCGCTTCCCTGGTGGGACCAGGAAGTTCTCAGTCTATTTCCTACCTCCTACACTCTCAACAGTTTATCAGAGTTGGGAGGATCCCTCTCAACATGTGTCTTGATCCCTTCCCCCAAGACATATTTGGAGAGGGACCCTCCCAACTCAGCCTCCATCATCATTGAAATCTCCCAGCCTATCACCCCCGTGTTGGAATTTTCCATTCCTCTCCCTCATTATCTCACCCATCATTGGACTTTTTCACCAATGAGAGGATCCACCTGCTGGGGGTGAGGGATGTGGTAGGTGCCAGTTTGTTACTAGGAGACAGGGTGGGAGAGACTCGAGGCTGGGAGCAGACGTGGCGAGAACTATCTGGTCACAAGTTGGACCATACCAATTGTTAAGAAGCCATAGCATGGTTGGGCAGTGGCTCATGCCTGCAATCCCAGAACTTTGGGAGGCCAAGGCGGGTGGATCATCTGAGGTCAGGAGTTGAAGACCAGCCTGGCCATCATAATGAAACCCTGTCTCTACTAAAAATACAAAAAATTAGCTGGGCATGGTGGCACATGCCTGTAATCCCAGCTACTCGGGAGGCTGAGGCAGGAGAATTGCTTGAACCCAGGAGGTGGAGGTTGCAGTGAGCCGAGACTGTGCCACTGCACTCACTCCAGCCCCAGTGACAGTGGGAGACTCCATCTCAAAAAACAAAAAAAGAAGCCATATCATGGCCAGGGGGTGGCTCACACCTGTAATCCCAGAGCTTTGGGAGGTTGAGGTGGGTGGGTCGCTTTTTGCCCAGGAGTTCAATCTCTACAAAAGAAATACAAAAATTAGCAGGGCATGGCAGCCCACGTCTGTAGTCTCAGCTACTTGAGAGGCTGAGAAAAGAGGATCACTTGAGTCCAGGAGGTCAAGGCTGCAGTGAGCTGTGATGCTGTGATGGTGCCAGTGCAATCCAGCAAAAGATTGAGAGCCTGTCTCAAAAAAAAAAAAAAAAAAAAGGGCCAGGCATGGTGACTGTAATCCCAGCACTTTGGGAGGCCGAGGCAGGTAGATCATGAGGTCAGGAGTTCAAGATCAGCCTGACGAACATGGTGAAACCCCATCTCTACTAAAAATAGAAAAATTAGCTGGGCATGGTGGTATGCACCTGTAGTCCCAGCTACTCAGGAGGCTGAGACAGGAGAATTGTTTAAACCGGGGAGGTGGAGGTTTAAACCCAAATTTTTTTGTATTTTTAGTAGAGTCAGGGTTTCACCATATTGGCCAGGCTGGTCTTGAACTCTTTTTTTTTTTTTTTGAGACAGAGTTTCACTCTTGTTACCCAGGCTGGAGTGCAATGGCGCGATCTCAGCTCACCGCAACCTCCGCCTCCTGGGTTCAGGCAATTCTCCTGCCTCAGCCTCCTGAGTAGCTGGGATTATAGGCATGTGCCACCATGCCCAGCTAATTTTTTGTATTTTTAGTAGAGACGGGGTTTCACCATGATGACCAGGTTGGTCTCGATCTCTCGACCTTGTGATCCACCCGCCTCCGCCTCCCAAAGTGCTGGGATTACAGGCTTGAGCCACCGCGCCTGGCCTGAACTCTTAACCTCAGGTGATCCGCCTGCCTCAGCCTCTCAGAGTGCTGGGTTACAGGTGTGAGTCACTGCATCTGGGTGATGCCCAGCTAACTTTTGTATTTTTAGTAGAGATGGGGTTTCACCATGTTGGCCAGGCTGGTCTAGACCTCCTGCCTTTAGATGATCTGCCTGCCTTGGCCTCTTAGTGCTGTGATTACAGACGTGAGCCACCGTGCCCGGCCAGATACAGTTGTTAAGGGGTTCAGAGTGGGAGAGTCCATATAGGGAAAGGGAGTAGGGTAAGATAAACTAATCACAGATACCATACACTGGGGACGCAGAATGGAAGAACCTTTGATGGCAAGAGATGGGGTGGAGGGCGATCAAGGTTGGGGGAGACACCCAGGCAGCGCTGACTACCTGTCTACCGGTCTGGCGGCTTCCTAGGCCCTCGCTGCCTGCCGCACGGCCCAGATCGTGACCCAGTACTGCGTCGGTGCCAACTACACGTGGCTGCTGGTAGAGGGCGTCTACCTGCACAGTCTCCTGGTGCTCGTGGGCGGCTCCGAGGAAGGCCACTTCCGCTGCTACCTGCTCCTCGGCTGGGGTGAGCCCCTACCCCATCCCCAGCCCAACCCAGCGCGCCTGCCTCTCCTCGGCTCCCCCAACTGCCCAGCTGGTTGGCCTGTGGGGATCTCCTCCCATCTGTAGGCTTCTGCCTCCCCAACCCCTGACAGAGGAATTCCGCGGGTCTTGGGCCTGGCGGGGCCCGTACGCGCGCTCACAGCTGCGGCGGGGTGGGGGGGCGGGGTCGGGGTCTGCACAGGGGCCCCCGCGCTTTTCGTCATTCCCTGGGTGATCGTCAGGTACCTGTACGAGAACACGCAGTGAGTTGCAGGGGCGGGGGTGGGGCCCGGGAGGTGGGCGGGGCTTTGAGGGATGTGGGCGGGGTTGTGACGGAAACAAGCAGGGTCGGAAGGCTATTCCGTGCTGGGGGGACGTGGGCGGGGGTCCAGAGGAATGGGGAGCTAGGAAAGGCTGTGTTGGAGGGCAACCGGCAAGGGGAGTGGGGGTGGAACCTGGATCGTAATGGGCGGGACCCTAGGGAGTGTGTGTGTGCGCACGTGCGTGCGTGCGTGTGTGTGTGTGTGTGGGGGGGGTCTCAAGTGCGGTGGGCGGAGCCTAGCAAGCAAATGAGCTTGGTGATCCGGTGAGTCTAGAGGGTTTTCTCTTAGCTCTACCCCGCCTTCCCCAGGTGCTGGGAGCGCAACGAAGTCAAGGCCATTTGGTGGATCATACGGACCCCCATCCTCATGACCATCTTGGTAGGATCGGTCCCGCCTCCACCAGGCCGTCCTCAGGGATTTCCCATTCTGGGAAGTGGGGTGCCACCTCCTGCCCCTCCAGAACAGGATCACGGCTGGCTCAGCCACTATCTTTCCCCACAGATTAATTTCCTCATTTTTATCCGCATTCTTGGCATTCTCCTGTCCAAGCTGAGGACACGGCAAATGCGCTGCCGGGATTACCGGCTGAGGTGAGGGCGCGCGGTGGGGACCGAGGGGAAGGTGCCGGGTACGAGATGGGGAACCAGGACTGCGTATGGGATCACTGCTGCCTCTCTCCCCAGGCTGGCTCGTTCCACACTAACGCTGGTGCCCCTGCTGGGTGTCCACGAGGTGGTGTTTGCTCCCGTGACCGAGGAACAGGCCCGGGGAGCCCTGCGCTTCGCCAAGCTCGGCTTTGAGATCTTCCTCAGCTCCTTCCAGGTGCTCAGGCGGGGTGCAGAGGCTCCACCCAAGGCCTCCCCAGAAGGGCTCGAGAGCTGCAGTCGTTTTCAGATGCAGCCACTAAATGGGGTGTGAAGATAGGATTTAGTTCGTTCATTCATTTTTTTTTTTTTTTTTTTTTTTTTTGAGATGGAGTTTTGCTCTTGCTGCCTGGGCTGCAGTGCAATGGTGAGATCTCGACTCACTGCAACCTCTGCCTCTGGGGTTCAAGTGATTCTCCTGCCTCAACCTCCCGAGGAGCTGGGATTACAGGCATGCACCACCACGCCTGGCTAATTTTGTATTTTTAGTAGAGAGGGGGTTTCTCCATGTTGGTCAGGCTGGCCTCAAACTCCCGACCTCAGGTGATTCATCTGCCTCAGCCTCCCAAAAGTGTGGGATTACAGGCTTGAGCAACTGCACCTAGCTTTTTTTTTTTTTTTTTTTTTTTTTTGAGACGGAGTTTCGCTCTTGTTACCCAGGCTGGAGTGCAATGGCTCGATCTCGGCTCACCGCAACCTCCGCCTCCTGGGGTCAGGCAATTCTCCTGCCTCAGCCTCCTGAGTAGCTGGGATTACAGGCACGCGCCACCACGCCCAGCTAGTTTTTTTTTTTTTTGTATTTATAGTAGAGACGGGGTTTCACTATGTTGACCAGGATGGTCTCGATCTCTCGACCTCGTGATCCACCCGCCTTGGCCTCCCAAAGTGCTGGGATTATAGGCTTGAGCCACCGCACCTGGCCGTTTTTTTTTCTTTTTTGAGACAGTCTTTGTTGCTCTGTCACCCAGGCTGGAGTGCAGTGGCATGATCTTGGCTCACTGCAACCTCTACTTCCTAGTTCAAGTGATTCTCCTACCTCAGCCTCCCGATAGCTAGGATTACAAGCATCTGCCACCACACCAGGCTTTTTTTTTTTTTTTTTTTTTTTTTTTTTTGAGACGGAGTTTCGCTCTTGTTACCCAGGCTGGAGTGCAATGGCACGATCTTGGCTCACCGCAACCTCCGCCTCCTGGGTTCAGGCAATTCTCCTGCCTCAGCCTCCTGAGTAGCTGGGATTACAGGCATGCACCACCATGCCCAGCTAATTTTTTGTATTTTTAGTAGAGACGGGGTTTCACCATGTTGACCAGGATGGTCTCGATCTCTTGACCTCGTGATCCACACGCCTTGGCCTCCCAAAGTGCTGGGATTACAGGCTTGAGCCACCGCACCCGGCTATTTTTGTGTTTTTAGTAGAGACCAGGTTTCACTATGTTGGCCAGGCTAGCCTCCAACTCCCGACCTCAGGTGATCCACCCGCCTTGGCCTCCAAAGTGCTGGGATTACAGGCGTGAGCCACCACGCCCAGGCTGCTTTACCTAATTCGACCTCAGTTTTCTGATCTCTAAAGTGTGGACAATAACAGTCTCACTGAACAAAGCTGTTCATTCATTGAATTCAGCAAAAAATTACTGAGCATGTATATATACTAAGCACTCTTACAGGCTTATCACAAGGATACAGCCAAGAACCCTACCCTCCAGTGGGAGAGACACACACTAAACACACTACAGATAGGCATATAGGCCAGGCACGGTGGCTCACGCATGTAATCCCAGCACTTTGGGAGGCCGAGGCGGGTGGATCACAAGTTCAAGAGATCGAGACCATTCTGGTCAACATGATGAAACCCCGTCTCTACTAAAAATACAAAAACTTGCTGGGCATGGTGGCCCGCACCTGTAGTCCCAGCTACTCGGGAGGCTGAGGCAGGAGAATTGCTTGAACCCAGGAGACGGAGGTTGCGGTGAGCTGAGATCGCGCCATTGCACTCCAGCCTGGGTAACAAGAGCGAAACTCCGTCTCAAAAAAAAAAATTAGCCGGGTGTGGTGGCGGGCGCCTGTAATCCCAGCTATTCAGGAGGATGAGGCAGGAGAATCACTTGAACCGGGGAGGTGGAGGTTGCAGTTTGCCGAGATCACACCACTGCACTGCAGCCTGGGTAACAAGAGCCAGATTCCGACTCTTTTTTTTAAAAGGTGGGGTTTCACCATGATGGCCAGGCTGGTCTTGAACTCCTGAACTCAGGTGATCCACCCACTTCAGCCTCCCAAAGTGCTAGGATTACAGGCGTGAACCATAGCGCCCGCCCCAGACTCTTACAAAAAGAGAAACAAAAACGGGGTGGGGTGGAGGCGGTTACAGTCCTGCTACCACCAGAGATGTAACACTCCCCACACCCGCGCCTCCTCTGACAGGGCTTTCTGATCAGCGTCCTCTACTGCTTCATCAACAAGGAGGTAGGTACAGCCCCGACCGCCTCCTGCGCCCTCTAGCGGCCGCCCGGGGTACGGCGCCGCCTCTGAGCGCCACCGTTTCGCAGGTGCAGTCGGAGATCCGCCGTGGCTGGCACCACTGCCGCCTGCGACGCAGCCTGGGCGAGGAGCAGCGCCGCCTCCCAGAGTGCGTCTCCCGGGCCCTGCACTCCAGCTCCGGCCCTGTAGAGGTCCCTACCGACCGTGCCTTGTCCTCGGGTACCCTCCCAGGGCCCAGGAATGAGGCCAGCCAGGTGTTAGAAAGTTACTGCTAGGGGGCCGGGTCCCTGTATCTGTTCAGTTAGCATGGATTGATTGAGTGCCTACTGCGTGCCAGGCCCAGTGTGCAGGGGGAAACGGTGAAGGAAACAGAAAAACAGGTCCCTGCCCTCCTGGAGATGACAACTGAATGGGGAAAAGACCGTGAACACAAAACACCAAGTTCCGCACATGCTGTGGCATGGTTATGAAGGGAAGTGAGAAGGGGGCCTAGAGAGGTCTGGGAGGCCCTCTCCAAGGAGGTGACATTTAAGCCATGCCAGAAGGAGGTGAAGGAGATCACGTTGGGAAGAGCTGGAGACCAGGATTCTAGGCTGAAGCAACAGCAAATGCGAAGGCTCTGGGGCAGGAAGGTGCTCGGCCTCGGCTGGAGTAGAATTAAGTCAGAGCCAACGGATGGGGAGAGAGAAGTGGGCAGGGGCACACAAGTTAGGATTTTATTTCAGATGCACTGGAGATTCTTAGGAGTGTCTCTTGGAAGTAATATTTTATTTTATTTATTTATTTTTTAAGATGGGGTTTCACCCTGATGGCCAGGCTTGTCTTGAACTCCTGACCTCAGGTGATCCACCCACCTCGGCCTCCCAAAGTGCTAGGATTACAGGCGTGAGCCACCGTGCCTGGCCCTAATGGGCTGTTTTAAACAGAGCCCTCTTGTCTGCACTGTATCGGGACAGATTATCAGGGGCAGGGGTGGAAGCTGGAGCCCAGCAAGGAGGGAGACTGCAGGTGGGAAGTGCCGGTGGCCGGACCAGGACGGAGGCACTGAAGGGTATGAAGCAGTCGGATTTGAAGCTGTTTCAAAGGTAGAGGTGAGAGGATTTCATGATGGATCACATGAGGACACAGCAGCAGAGCACTCGTTGGTTTTGGATGGTGGAGAGAGGAAAAAATAGGGAGACTGGGTTTGCGGTGGGGAGAACTGTGTGCTCTTTGGAAATGTTAGACTGGCGGTGTTTGTAGGATACCGCAGAACAGGACACCGAGTGTAAGGGTCTGGGGCTCTCAGGAGAGGGGCGAGCCAGAGACAGTAATGTGAAAGGCACTGCGTCCACAGAGGGGGATTTGGTGCAGATAGGAGCACAGGTGAAGCAAGGCAGGCCTTGCAGCTGAAACCTTACACCCAGAATAGCCAGGGTTAGTGCTGGCTGCAGCGTGAGGATGAATATCCCCACCGTCCTAAGAATGGCAGCCCGTGGGACCTGGGAGAATGAGAGGGCATGCTAACAGTCTCACTGTGGCTGGACCACCTGTACATACACCCACAAGACCCTCACCCCTAAATCCTCCCCCTACACACACGCAAACTTACTGTATGGGTGTTTCTGAGCCTTTTCCCTGGACATATGTGTCCCAAAGCTGAACTCGGCCTCAAGCTTGTGGCCTTGCTGCCCCCTTCCCGTTACCCCCACTTTGTGGATTCTCATGGGGTGGGGACATGCCTTAGGACACTGCCCTTGTAAATAAAGTATAAAAACAGTAGCTTTTTTTCTTTCTTGGGTAGAAGCATCTTCCTGGCCATGTCACAAAGGGAAATGACTGAGGCAGGCTGCCCGGTGGGGTGGGGGGGTCCATGGTGGCTTTGCTCCAATTGATCCATGTGTTGCTACAAGAAAACGGGACGGCCGGACATGGTGGCTCATGCCTGTAATCCAAGCACTTTGGAGGCCAAGGCGGGTGGATCACCTGAGGTCGGGAGTTCAAGACCAGCCTGACCAACATGGTGAAACCCCATCTTTATAAAAAAAGAAAGAAAGAAAACAGAACACCCACTGTCACTGTCTCTCCTGCCTGAGTCCCCAAGTGGCCATATTACATGTGATCTCTGCGAGGCATATGAACAGATGCTACCTGCATCCTAGGATCACCTGACACGCCCACAGGTTACAATTAGGACCCTGCCTGGCGCTGGTGTGTGGGCAACGCTGGGCCAGTTTGCAAAGGGCTATTCCTGCTGCCTCTGCTTTCGTTTCACCCTCTGAAGGCAGGAGCAAGAGAAAGCCTGTGGGGCAAGAGTTGAGGAAGGAAATTTTGACAAGCTGAGCGGAGCTATCAGGACTGGAATCTTTGGTGCCAGCCTGCAAGGTGGGGAAACCAAGTTCTATCTATTTTTATTTTATTTTATTTTTTTGAGACGGATTTTCGCTCTCGTTACCCAGGCTGGAGTGCAATGGCGCGATCTCGGCTCACCGCAACCGCTGCCTCCTGGGTTCAGGCAATTCTCCTGCCTCAGCCTCCCGAGTAGCTGGGATTACAGGCACGCGCCACCATGCCCAGCTAGTTTTTTTTTGTATTTTTAGTAGAGACGGAGTTTCACCATGTTGACCAGGATGGTCTCGATCTCTCGACCTCATGATCCACCCACCTCAGCCTCCCAAAGTGCTGGGATTACAGGCTTGAGCCACCGCGCCCGGCTAGTTCTATTTTTTAATAAGTACAAGTCAACAACTGGGAAGGCAGGCAGGATCGGCACCCGGACTGTGACTCCAGGGCTGTGCTGCTTCCTGTATCAGAACCAAACCCCAGGTGACCTCCTGTGACAGCACCATTGCCCCAACTTTCTATAAAGTTATGATACTGGAGCTCCATCTTGCTATCCAAGAAGACTGTGAGGACCTGGCTCCCCGGGTTTGGAAATAGTACCATTGTTTCCTAACTGGGCAACCGTGAACAAGTTGCTTACCCTCTCTTAGCCCCAACGATCTTATCTATAAAATGGGATAGCTCTAGTATCCACCCCACAGATGTTCTGCATTTAGATATAGTAAATATACACCTTTATAACCCACAACCCATTGCCTTCTGTATATCAGGCCTCATTGCTGCAGGGTCCCAGCTCTGCCACAACGCTCTCAGGCCCTCTCTCTGCCTTCCTCCCTTCCTTGTCTTTTTTTTGATATGGAGTCTCCCTCTGTTGCCAGACTGGAGTGCAGTGGCGCAATCTCGGCTCACTGCAACTTCTGCCTCCCGGGTTCAAGCAATTCTCCTGCCTCAGCCTTCTGAGCAGCTGGGACTACAAGCATGTGCCACCATGCCCAGCTGATTTTTGTATTTTTAGTAGAGACGAGGTTTCACCATGTTTGCCAGGATGGTCTCCATCTCTTGACTTCGTGATCCGCCAGCCTCAGCCTCCCAAAGTGCTGGGATTACAGGCATGAGCCACCAAGCCTGGCCCTAGAATGTACCTTTCACAGCTCAGAGCAGGCCACACATCTCACTGAGTATACACTGACCTCAGGCCTGCTAACTCTTGCACCCTTCTGGTGCTTGCCTATATCCATCTGTCACCCAGGCTGGAGTATAGTAGCGCGATCTCAGCTCACTGCAAGCAGTTCTCTTGCCTCAGCCTACCAGGTAGCTGGGACTACAGGCACGTGCCACCACACCGGGCTAATTTTTGTATTTTTAGTAGAGACGGGGTTTTGTCATGTTGTCCAGGCTGGTCTTGAACTCCTGACCTCAGGTGATCCACCTGCCTCGCCAATTTTTAGTAGAAACGGTATTTCACCATGTTATTAAGGCTGGTCTTGAATTTCTGACCTCAGGTGATCTGACTGCCTCCAGAAGATACTTTGATCAAGCAAGACCAACTCATTATGAGAGGCAGAGAAGAGAGCTACAGAATGAGAAGATGCTCAGAAAGATTAAAGCAGGAGAGCTAAAACATTCTCCAGTACCACAGCTGGGTGCTCATTTCCAACCTGTTTGCTTTGCAGATGGGGAAAGTGAGGACTCAATGGCGCAGAGCCAGGGCCTCTCCACCTGCTCAGGGGTGCTGATCCCAGCGTTCAGTCCTATACCAGCTGCCTCCCCCAAGCCCTCCTGAAGCCATCCCACTCACAAGGCTCTGGGAACAGGTACCACTAGAAAAAAACAGAGCTTTAATTGTTCTCAACACCAGCGGCAGCGGTCTCTGTAGGACAGGGGAGTGAGTTCTGTTGATCGACAGGGATAGGTGGCTCCTACTTGCCGGCGATGAGCGGGTTCCGCAGGACCACAATGACTGAGTCCCCGCGCAGGAACATCTTGGAGATGTAGCGGTCTTTGTTGACTGGCTTGGACTTCTTCTTGCCCTTGCCACTCTTGGGTACCTCAGTCCACATCTCCTTCACGTTCTCCAGCACCATGTTGCAGTGCCTGGTGGGGAACAGGGAGGAGAGGCCCTGGGTGTGAGGGGATGCCTCTGACAGCCCGCCCTACTGCCTGCTGCTCACCCCCTCCAGCAACACGGCTTGGGGAAGGGTGCACATGCTAGGCCAGGATGACCAAGCTGCCCAGGCCAACCCTGCCAGTCCTTAGGCTGTGGCTGAGGCAGAAGAATACACCTCTCTGTGACAGCTTGCTTTTTTTTTTTTGAGATGGAGTCTCGCTCCTGTCCTATAGGCTGGAGTGCAGTAGGGCAATTTCAGTTCACTGCAACCTCCACCACCCTCCTGGGTGTGGGTAACCCCCATATAGGCACCGAGGAATAAGAGCTAAGCAGAACCCTGGCACAGTTAGGGCCTGAAGAATATTTCACTTTATAGTGTTACTACTCAGCTATTTCCTTTTATATAATCCTTTACATAATCATATATTAGTTTATAGAATTAGGGCTTGAAGAATCCCTTAATATAATCCTCTATATATAATCATATAATAGTTGATAGTATGAGTGCCCAAAGAATATTTTCCTACATATATACCTATAATTGTACCTTAGTTCATAATCGGAGGAATGCCTAGAGTGGACACAGTACAGAGCATGAATTACAGAGTAAGCAGCTTATAATCAGAGGAATGCCTAGAGCAGACACAGTGCAGAGCATGAATTAAAGGAAAAACAGTTATACCAGGACAAGAATCCATGGCCCAGGCGGCAGCGTTCAGTATCGTAAAGATACCCGCTGTATGGCAGGCTGGGGGCGAGAGCCACTCCTCCTGATAAAGGAGTTGTAGGACCTTGTTCCAGTTCTTGTGGAAGGCTGCCCTCAGACTGGCAATCCACCTTTGTGACTGTGAACTTTATCAACTCTTACTACTGTGCTGCTTGAAAAGCATCTTCCCATAGAACTCACTGGAAGTTACCAGAAGTTGGCAGTAACCTTGACAGCTCTGTTACTGCTATGTGACTTAAAGTATCCTCCTATAAATCTTAGAAGTAGTTTGCCCATAGATAGGAAGTATTGCACACTGCACCTTCTTCACTGAGCATGGCCCACCTTCAAGCCTCGGTGACCTAATGGGGGTGGATCCCTTACCGCACACCGCCCTTGCCTTCATGGGAACGGGCCCCTTGCCGCGCACTGTCCACCTCCTGGCCTAGGTGACCTAATGAGGGTGGACCCCATGTTTTATTGCTCACGACCCTATCACTATCCTTAAAGATGATTTCCCTCACTGCCCTGCCCCCTAACCTATACACAATAAATACTCATGCTTCTGGACATTCAGGGCCTCTCTTGACTCTGCTTAGAAGTGGCGTGGCCACTGAGCCCAGCTGCGTTTTTCTTGTACTTCTGTGTCCTGTCTC